TTGAGGATCTCTTTGTGGGAGCCCACAGGGCCCTCATGGTGGTCATGGGCTGCCCCAGCCTGGGTGGGGCGGAGACTCAGCTTCTTCCATGTGAGCCCAGTGCCCTGCACAGCTCTGCCAACCAGTCGTGTTGAGGAGAGGGCAGAAGGGAAGTGGTCTCTGTGCTGATCAATGCTCAAAGGATCATATTCATCTCTTGAGCTAGAGGAATGGTACCACAGGGGAAGAGACCTGAAAGTGCCCCTGATTACAAACAGTGCTTTTCTTTCCCTTTCCAGTGCTATCTGGGGGATGCATTCCGCTGTGCCAGCTGCCCTTACCTGGGGATGCCTGCCTTCAAGCCCGGGGAGAAGATTGTCCTGAAAGAGAACCAGCTGCATGATGCTTAACAAAGACATCTCTGGATGTCCTGCAAAGGACTCTGCTGCCTTTCCATTACTCTGAGGTTCTTCCTGCAGTCCTCCTCATCCTCTCAAACTCATGCTCTCCGGCCAATACTCCGTGTGGGGAGGGGCACTGCGGGCACTGACACTGCTGTGAGCTCATCACTTGTAACCAGCCTTGGGCTACCTGACAAGTCACGTACCAGACTTCATGTTACACCTTGGTTTAGCTGCTCTCATCCTGGCCGTCACAGCGTGTCCCGCCAGCAGAGGGAAGCAGAATCAAGTGTCAGGTTGTCCTTGTGTGCCTGTGGCAGGACCCGGATTTCCCAATGCACGTGTTGTATAGCTCTAATTTGCCCTGATTTTCCCTGGTGATGCAGCAGCTCTGGCTCAGCTCCCCGGGGTTACACTGGGCTCCTGCTCTCTTTGAAATTTAAACCTGCAGCCCCTTACCTCGTGAGGGTGGCTCAGCAGCTCCTGTTGCAAGTCAGGAGCCGGGATTATACTTAGCAGTATGTACTCTGAGAAGTGTGTGTGTGATCTTCTTGGTAAAGTCTGGCAGGCATGATGAATTTCCAAGTGTTTTGGGAGTCCCTGCCCCCACCTGTTTACAGCAAAATGACAAAGATTTAGTCCCACCTAGAAAACTCCTGCCCTTGTGGCAGGGAGCTGATGAAACACGATCTTTCTTGTCCTCCCACAGCTTTCACTGATAACACAAGGGCAGTCTGAGACTGTCACCTCTCTTGGTGGTTACCAAATGAGTTACCTGCAGTGTCCAATACATAAGAACATAGCAATAACTTAATTTCTAGATGATCTGTGGTCGCCATCTGCTCCCTCTCCATGAGATACTATTTATTTGTGTAAGAAGTTAGTGAAGTGTCCCACAGGATGGTGGAGCTGTTCACGTTTTGTACGGGGCTTTCTTCTCACCCAGGGTGGGAGAGGAGGAAAACCCACATCCAGTGTCTCAGTGAGGATTGCTTTGTTTGGAGCTCTTGCTCTTCAGGATGTGACTGCTTGTTGTGTGCTACCTGAGTTACTCACTAAACTCACGGAGGGGGCTGGGATGAAAGGCTGTTCTGTTCTTGAAATAAAAGTGACCAATAGTAAAGCCTTTGTTTTAAGGCTGGTATTAGTGGCATTCTAACTATGTCTCTCCTAGTCAGCCTCTCAGTGATTTCTGGAACTGTTGAAATGTTGGGTTTCATCTTGGAGTTCTCCATAAATTGTTCCTTTGAAAACTTGACTTGAATACGTGATACGTAATGGAAAGAACAGGATGTTAAGGAAAACTGTTAAAACTTTCCTTTCTGACCATTCAGATGTTGCTCTAGGACTCACACTTGCACCACCCCAGACTGTCACTGCTGGTACTGAAGCCCCTTCATGCCAGAGCACAGCTTTTCCAGACCCCTTCCTCACTCTCCTCCCCAGTCCCTGCCTCTGTCATCAGCAAGAACAGCTCCCAAGGACTCTTGTGATAAACCACCTGTCCAAACAACTTATTGTTCCTATCTTGTGATGTAAGGAAATGGGCAAAAGCCTCTGCTCACTTATGGCTTTTGGGGATTTTATTGCCTTTTCTTAGTCTCACTGGAAGAGGAAGATCAGAGATCAGATGACTGTGTCTTCACATGAAAGGTCCCTGATAAAGGCAGCCCTTAATCTGAACTAGGCTTTCCTTTCAGAAGTAAATAAGATAAGAGAGGCAGGAAGCAGCAGCAGAAGCTTTTGTTTCACACTGATTCACTCAACTGGAATTCCAACAAGCTGGAAGCACTTTCAGCTACTGCTGAGTTCAGTCAGTGATGGTTAAGGCTGTATAATCTTGTTCTCTTTAAATAGCTTTACTTGCTCTTGCTGTGCCAGAGGCCCTCCAAGGGTGACAAGTGTGGCAGTGGAGCATGTGCTGGGTGGGAGTATGATCCTGTCACGCTGGTTTCAAGGAGAATTTACCCTTTTAGCCCCCTTCCCTAGGGGGTCTCAGCAGATACTGTAAACACACCCTGCAGCAGAGTTTAATCTGCAGCTTCGGCCATTTGCAGTGAAGCTTCCCTGATTTTTCTCCCAGTGTGTGACCTGCTCCTCGTTCCTCTGAACTCCGTGCTCCAGGCAGCCAAAGCCACCCTCTCTGCAGGTGACCTGGGTTGGACACACAGTGCCAGCTACGGCCTGTGGGGAGTTCAGGACTGACCTCACATCTCAAACGAGGCTGCTGAGAGCAGGTGGGACTGAAACCCCCCTGCTCTGTGGCACCGAGTGAGCTTGGTGGCTTTATTTCTTTTGGGGTATTGCATCATCCCTTCTCTGCACATTCCCTCTATACCACTGCCTCAGGCAGTGGTTTATGGCACTGCAAAGATAAGCATCTGCTCATCCCCTTTTTGGTGGTTGTAAGTCACGTCCCTCACTGGCTCATTGGCAGCCTCATCCTCCCTGTTGTTTCTCCTACAAGACAGAGGTCAGTGCCTTCCTCAGCCTGAGCCAGTGTCTTCCTCTTCTTCTGACTAATCTTTTCTCTCCTCTTTCCCTGCTCTGTTTCCTTTCAGCTCTCTCTTTCTGTTATTCTTTCCCTAATTCTCTTATGTTTTCTTCTCTTCTGTCCTGGCCTCTCTCATCTTTTTTGTGCCATCCAAATATACTGCAGTCCTCCTCACGCATCCCCATCCTTTCCCATTCCTCCTCTTCTGCTCCTTGTCTTGTATTTTTCCCCTTTGCCGGCTTTTCACACCTTGACCCAGTCATATCCCTGTTCTTTCCCTTGTGGATTCCTGCTGTTTTTCCAGCAGGCAGGGAGCACAGTGGAGGCCAAGCCTCTCCCCTGACTTTTACTTTTGTTTCTCTGCCTGTGTCAGGCTTCCTCTGCAGCAAGCAGATCTTGAGGGGCAGTGAGGACACACTCCATGCTCCTGGCTTGGAAACCCATCGTGGGTGTTTCACTCACCTGCCTTGGGCACACACAGGGACAAGAGGGCCCTCTGTCCATACAGAGGTGTTTGGGGCAAGGAGAGCATTGGGTTTATTACTGCTTTATCTTCACACACTTGCTTAGCTCCTTGTAATAGCAACTTTTGAGAAGTGAAATTTGGACCCTCAGCTCTGGCCGTAGCTGCTTCACCTTCTTAAAAATAGCCAATGGCCAAAGATGCTGCCCCCACCCATCCTGCCTTGAGACATTACCTCCACTAGTTCCTCAAGAGCCCTGGCTGCATTTCCCCACCTCTTGCTCACTCATGTAACTGCTCCAAGGCTATTTCATGGCTTCTTGCCTGGTTCCTTGGTAAGAACACTATCCCAGATCTGATCCCCCACTAACCTTGGGGTAATGATGAAGCACTATGACTGTCCCAGCTTTCTCCACTTCATCAGTTCATAACTCTTTTCTGATGAAGCAATGGACCATGCTTTTCCTTCCTCTTCTTTTTAAGGTAGTTAAGCAAATGCAGAGCCTTTTGCAGCCCGCTGACCATGGCTGCTTGTGACGGGTCACTGTCTGGATATTCTGGTTAAGCAACCCCAGCTCCTCCAGCTGTTCCTCATCAGACTTGTGCTCCAGACCCTTCCCCAGCTCTGTTGCCCCTCTCTGGACATGCTCCAGCACTTTTCTTGTCATGAGGGGCCAAAACTGAACACAGGATCCGAGGTGCCTCACCAGGCACAGGGGCACGACCACTACCCTGGTCCTGCTGGCCCTGCTGTTGCTGGTACAAGCCAGGATGCTGCTGGCCTTCTTGCCCACCTGGGCACATTGCAGGCTCATGTTCAGCCAGATGTCAAGCACAAGGTGGCCCACAGACCCCCCTCTGATCCTTGTTGGAATTCTGCCCCAGCACCCCAGCAGGAGGGTGCAGGATTGCTGCCTGCACATCCCACCCAAGAGCAAGCAACAGGTCTCCTTTCCATGAGGATAGGGTGGGAGCTGAATGGTGTCTGCTCTAAGCCAAAAATACCCTGGCCCTCCAGGGATAGCTTGGAAACAACCCCTGAGGAACAATGAACAGTGAGGTATTCTGGAGATCCTCCATCTTGCTTCCTTTCTGCAGGCAGAAGGACACCTTTCAATTTTTAATTTTCCAAAGTACAGGAAAGCTCTACATGCATGAGGACACCCAGAGCAAAGCAGATCCATGTGGATCATGGCAGCAGCACCCACAATGCACCTCTATGAATGAAGCAAGTGATGCTTTTCCATATTTGTCCCTTGAGTTTCAAGTGAGTGAACCACAGCAAGGTCAACCCCTGTCACAGCAGGTGCCTGCTCAAGAGAAAAATCCAGAAAACTGCTCCAGGACATGGCCACCCCACCCAGCATGTCCAGCACCAAGGGGACACCAAGTTTTTCCTGGACCATGGTGGCCACACAGTGCACGAGGACCTTCCTGAAACATGGAGCAAGTTGTTAGAGGAGCCTGTCGGTGACTGGAGACAGTGAAAAGAGTTGCTGAGGCTTGGCTGTGCTTGGAGCTGCAGAAGGCAAGGGGAAAAGCAGCTCAAGAGTCCTGTCATGCTGAGCCAGGAGACATGGCTTCTTCCAGGGGAACATACAGCACAGTGGTGGAGCCACTTGGGGGTAGACAGGTGGCTTTGGTCACCAAGATTGCACTTCTGTATGAGCTAACACCTAGTACTTGGGGAGAACAACCCCAACAGATGTACAGGCTGCTCACCCTCCCTTCTCCCTCATTTGCCCTCTCTGCTGGGGGAGACATCCACTGCTGCACTGGCTGCACTGGCATTCCCACCACTCTGCTTCTGTTGTGATGGCTTGATCTCCGTGTAAATGATGCTGGAGGAGGCAGGATTTGTCTCCTTTTCAAACTGCAGGTTGGCATAGGTCAGGTCCTCAGTCCCTGTCACCGGGGCTTCCTGCAGGGAGAGAGCAATGAGTAGAGCCTTGGCTTTCCCTTCTGTGTTTCCCCTGATAATGTTTTTCCACTGGCACAACTATTTGCACTGCCCAGGCATTATCCAGCTTGCTCTGAAGTGCCACCTATTCAGACACTCATAAGCCCCTATTTAACAGGAATTAATAAGTGTTTAGGACCATGTTTTGAGAAAGCAAAGCTGATTTTACTCTGAAATCCTTTAAGTGGGTATTCAACAGCCAGTGCTTTTATTGACAGGGAGGAAGAAGTGATATGTGCAAAGCCCCTCTAGCTTACCCTGCTGAGCTGATCCACTTCTGCCACTTTCCTACTTGTGATTTTTCCTGAAAAACAAAACATAGTTTAAATAGCAGTTAAAATAATGACAATGATATTTATTTTAAATGAAGAAAATAAGGAAAAAACTAAGCAGACATTTGCACTGATTCTGCTTTTGATGTAGTAGAGGATGAGGCTGTCTGAGCTGTCTGGCTCAGAAGATGACCAAGGGGCAGGAGAGGCTGGAAAGGGGTTAAAAGCCCTTGGAGGGGCTGGAGAAGAGTTCTGAGCTGGACACTTCTAAAATGTGGTGATATGCAAGAGCTGTCTCACACCACAGCCTGTGCCATAGCTGAGCTCCCACCAGCAACTGGCCAGAAGGGAGGGAGGGGCTGAACCTTCTCCCCACGCCAGGACAGCTTGTCCAGGAGGACAGACTTGTGAAGGGAACACTGAGCAAGCAGGAGCAGCAGGATGTTGAAGATGGACATCCCCCAAGCCTGGATTTGTCCAGAGCAGTAGATGAGGAGGAGCTGCCAACCAGCCTTACCTGTTCTGTTCCTTCTGCACTGCCACAGCAGCAAGCCAAGGATGGGTGTGCAGATGAGTGTCCCCACAGCTAAGCCAAAGAAGATGCACAAGAGTCCTGCACACACAACACCACAGAGGCACTCGTGAGCCACCATCCCACTGTGCAGGGACACACACGCTGCCATCGCCTCCTTCACGGGGGTGGTTCTTTTCCAAACCTGGGCTTCCCAACCCTGAACCACCCACAGCCCCCACAGCCCCGGGGTACTGACAAAATCCTGCAGGGAACAGTCTGCAAATCTCATCGGAACTCAGACAGGGGGTGGACAGAGCATCAGAACCCCTTCCCAGGGTCACAACCTCTGATCCACTGGTGCCTACCCAGGTTTGGCAGTGGCTCCCACCCACTCATGGGAAAACATCAGGATGTTTTCCCCCTTACTACCCCTCCTTCTTTTTCCCTGAAGACTCCTCCTGCCCCTCAATCTTGCAGCCCCGGGGTTGTGAGGACACACCTGTCCAGATCTTCTCCTCTGTGACATTGGTCTGAAGTCCTGGAGGGCAACACCCTGAAAGATAGAAACACAAGTGAGAGACTGTCCAGAGGCAGAGAACACCCTGCACCATGCCCTGCTTTGGGGCAGGAACCTGGACCCACAGCCCCAACTGTCCCGCTCTTGCCCCTGCAGCTCCAGCCACCTCAGCACTCAGCTGATGTGCTGCAGCTGGAGGATATGACAGGTCCTATTTCAAGGAACAAATGGCCCAGCAGCTCCATGGTGAGATGCATCTGCCAAAAGGGCTGGGCTGGGCTGGCCCTTCCAGTTCCCAGGATGCTTTCAGGGGAAATGGTGCATGGGGGAACCAGGGGAGCGCTGGTCGTAGCCTCCTTCTCTGCCCACTCATCACCCCCAAGAAAACAGACCCACTGCCACTTACTGGGAACTGCCTCCTGTGCGCTGTTTCCAGCATCTGTTGAGTTTATTCTTGTGATGGAGATGTTAAAGTCACAGCTTCCGAAGTGGAGTTCACTCATGCAGGGGCTGAGATTTGTACAGTTTTCTCCCGGAGCCGTGGTGTTGGTTTGATTCCACGACTCCAGGCCTTTAGGTTGGTACCACTCCACATGTACCGTGACATTCTTTGACCAAATTTCAAGCTTACACTGCCTGATGTCTGACTTTTCTGTCTGGCTGACTGTCCCTGGAGGAAACAGAAAAAAAGTGATAACTGAAATACAAGTCACATATACAGTTTTGCAGGGTCATATACCACTGGCACGTATTGCTCGTGAAAGACACAGTGAAGTGACTGTCCTTTCCTCCAGCAGCTGATGCTGTCTTCCATATCTGCCTGCTAACCCTTCCTCACTGAACATCGAAATGTTGCAGGTTGATTAGTGCCACTGGATGCTGTGCAGTGCACAAGCTTCTCTCTGTCTCAGGAAGGATTAACAACAGGAGAATGAGGGAAAAGACACCTAGGTGGAAGGGTCTTCTGGCACCCAAGCAAGAAGTGCCACAGGCTTGGGCTCCACCATTTCATGGAGTGTGAGGTGGGACTGGGGTGTTGGCTGTGGGGAATTGTCAGTCCGAGAGAAGCAAAGAAAATATAGTAGGTAGATCCCTGCAGCCTCTCTGGCTTCATCCCATCCCCTAATGCTCACTCTGGAGTACTTCAGAATCACTCCTGAAACTCTGAGCTGAAGTCACTTCACACCTCAGCAGTCATCCCTCTTTCACCTCTCTTCTCTCTCTCTTCTTCAGCCCTTTCTCTCTGCTCCTGTGGGTCTTAGTGGATTTCTGTCCCTTACTACCCTTGCTCTGTTCAGAACGTCTGTTCTTGGACATGTTCTTAGTGTTCTCACAGGGGGACTCACCAGTTGGCAGCCAGATGAGGAACAGCAAGGACAGAAAGCCACTGGTCAGCTGGATCTCCATGATTCCCAACAGCCTCGTGGTGATGATGCTGGGTGCCTGGTGGGATCGGCCGGGAGGTTCCCGTCTCTCCTGCAGCTTGAGGGTCCCTGCTCAGCTGAGATGAGCTGAAGCCCTGCTGGGAGCTCCCCTCCTCACACTCAGCCAGACAGTTCTCTCTGTGCTCACAGGCTTCCCCTCTCTTCCCCTTCTCTTGCTTCAGCCGAATTCTTATCTTCACTCTGCTTGATTCCTCCTCCGGTTTCATCCTGACCACATACCCTTGGCCCTGAGCCCCGAGTAATGTATCCAGGAACTGCTGCTGGCCCTTTACCAGTGCTCCAGGGCCCAGCCCAGCAGCTCTCTGCTGATGGCACGGGCAGGTGAGGGGAAAAACGGCTTCCCCAGTTTCCTACAGCACCACCAAGTCTGTTTTGTTTTACACCAGGAAATGCAGCCCTTGGAGGAGGCAGTGCTGCCATCACAGGGGGACACGGGGTGATGTCCACACCCATCTGGTGTTCTTGCTGAGCTCAGGTGGGGGGGACCCACACACCCTGCCAGCCCCCAGCCAACCAATTCAACACAGGGATGGGCTTGATCACAATGTTCTGGTTGTGGGATATACAAGCCCCAGCCAGGCAGGGACCGCAGCAGCCCCTTGTCCCCTGTTCTGGCCATGAGCACCCAGATCCCAGCTCCTGCTCTGCAGGGACAGAGTGCTGCAGGCAGCCCCCTGTATCCCCCTGTATCCCCCTGCCACCAGGACAGGAATGCCCACCAGGCCAGACAGTTTGTGTCACCCCTGCCACCAATGGGACATGGGCAGCACGGGCAGCAGGTGCAGGGCCCTCTGTGTCCCCAGTCTCCGTGTGGGCAATCTCTGCTGCTCCCCACTGCCTGCCATCACTCTTCTGTGCTCAGAGCAAAGCCTGCTCCCACCTGCCATTTACTCCCCTCACAGCAACCAGCCCCTAAACCTGCCAGGCACACACAGCCCAGCCACGTGTGTCTCCTGGAGGAAAGGGTGTTCACTGGAGCTCTTCTCCTCCACCCAGTGGAATGTCCTGGCTGAAGCACAGCTGAGGTCTCATCTGGAAAACAACCCACCTGAGGAAACAGCAACATCAGCAGGGTATTTACTGATGAGAGGGTCAGAAAACTAGATTTTTGTGGTACAAGATCCACAAGAACAAGAAGCAAGAGGCTCTGTTCTCTCTTGCTCTCCCCTCTTGACTCTTTCATCTCTTCCCACAGTCTTTCTGATGTTCAACTTCCTCTCTGCACTCGAGGCTTCCTCTCCTCTCACCTCACAACTGCACAACAACACGTACTTATTGCTTCCTTCCCTTTCATTCCTATTCTAGTTCTCACATTTGCTGGCACTGATGAAGGTGATTGAACATGAGGTGAGCCCTTCCACGTATCTCAGAGATCTTGGATCCACAAATCCTGGAGCAGGCAAACCCTGCGGTCACCTTCCAAAGTCTCTGGTGCAGAGGATGGACAGGAGCCATCCTGACCCAGGTGTACTGCACATAAGTACAAGCCTTGCCTAGATTGCCCTTAGGAAGTGGGATTCTTTGCTCAATTAGGAGAATTCTCTACATTCCAATTAGGACAGCGGGGAAATGGGCAGGTCATTAACAGAGCTCAGTAAGACCAAGTCAGTGATAGCAAAAACCATGAGCCCTTTCCATGCACAACCTCCTCCTCTCTGATGGATCTGCAGCATCTCCCCAGGAATGGGGCTCAGCAAGACCTTCTCCAGGGGGCAGTGCCTTCCCAGTCTTCCCAACTGCAGTGCTGGCAGAACTGAAGGTTAATGTCTTGCCTTCTGCTGACTCTACAGAGCTCCTCTCCTACCAGAGCCCCTTCCAGCTCCACAGCAACACTCCAGGAAGCCGCCAAGGAGAAAGGAAAGCAGGAAAGGACAATGCTGTTAATAACGCATGAGATGCCTTGTGTCAGTCAGCGACTACACCAGGCACTACACAATGTTTAAAGCAGGAGGGAGGCTGCAGAGCTCCTCAGCAGCTCCCCACTGCCTTGAAGTGAACCTGGGAAATACAGAAGGTGCTCAGGAGCGCCTGCCTGATGTCCTGTCACCGAGTCTTCCTCTCCCAACTTCTGGGAGTCGGTGAGAAGCCTCCTGTGCGATGCTGGGAGAGGATGAGGAGTAGTGTGAGGAGAAGGGCTGTGGTGGCTGTAGGGGGCTTTTCTTTAGGTGTCGTGGTGTTCTGCCCTCCCCAGGGTCTCCAAAAGCCCATCTGCCATTGCCGAGCAGGATCCTGTCCCTGGCTTGTCTCTAACAAAGCTCCTTCTCGAGCAACAGACAGACACAGATCCCCTGGACCCAGAGTGCTTCTGGGAATCTCACAGCACAACCTGCCCGGGTGGCCGGGGGGGTGACACATTGACCTGAGGGCCCACAGCCCTCACACAGCAGGGCCTGGCGCAGCCAGCGGCTGAGTACGAGAGCCCCGGGTGCTGGTGGTCACCGAGCAGGACGTGGCTGCAGAGACTGAAGGTGTCCCAGTCTCCCTGAGGTAGAGAAACGTCAAGAAGAGGGGGGTGGCTGCCCTGGGACCCCGGTACAGGACACGGGGACACACCTGGAGCCCAGAGCACAACCGCCTCTAGAACCTAAAGCCCTTCAGCTTAGTGCTTATCGCGGAGACGACGAGCTCCACGCTGATCTCCCATTGGCTGTTGGAGCTGTCCGTCACCTGAAGTCCCGCCTTTCCGCCGCTCTCCGGCCGCGGGATTGGCCGTTCCCTCACGCGGCGGGTGAAGCCGCCCCGGGCGCCGCCATGTTTCGAGCCATTGCCCGGCGGAGGGGTGGGGCGGTGCTGGGTTGTCGCGCATGCGCGGGCCGGCGCAGGGGCGCCGCCCCGGGAGCGCGCGGCCGCCTCGGGAGCGCGCCCGGCCCGAGGATGCGCCAGGCGGGACAACCCGGGCGGCCCCGGCCGGGCACAGGTAAGGGCGGGGGGGACCCCTGGGTTCCTCCGCTTCCCCAGGGCCGCCGGGCCCTGAGGGGGGCACAGCCTTGCCCGAGGGCGCGGGGCTGGGAGGGGCCCGGAGTCTTGGTGGGACAAACTGCGGGTGGGCCGGTGGGGTGAGGTGTGGCCTGATCCGTACAGCCCCATGAGGGCGGAGGTGAAGTGAGGTGAGCCCTGCCCTGTCCTACAGGTGAGGCGAGGTCAGGTGAGCCCTGCCCCGTCCAGCCCCGCACCCCCGGTCATGCAGAGCCCCGTGGGCAGTGCCAGGGGCATCCCCGGGGCTGCCACGGCCCTGTCAGGAGCCTCGTGTGAGGGCCAGTTTGGTGTCCAGGATTTTCCAGCTGCTGCTGTCTCCAGCATGGTCCCCACTGCCACCTTTGAGCTGAGGCGGTCCCTGTGGGAAGTGGTGTGCCAGGAACGGGGCCTTTCCTGCTGCACAGGAAGGACGGGGCGCTCTGCTGGGCTCGTCTTGAGGTGTGGCGGGAGCTGCGTGGGGCTGTGGGCTCGTGGGGCATCACACAACCCGCTGGCACTGCATTAGAAGCACGTTTAGTGTCGAAAGCACATCGGTCTCTGACATCAGCACATGAACCGTTTCATGCAGAGCCTCAGGTATGTTTGTGCCAGAAGG